GTTGGATATTTGTGTTGCTATACTTATTGTGATATTCATGTTTCAATAATATGTATTTTGTTTCAAGATCATCATGTGCACGACAAGAATAGATCCTAGTTTTTGTTCACTTTTTGTTATATAGTTCAAGGGAGTACCTCCTTGTATTTGGAAATATTAAAACATTTATATAACTTAATTTATATAATTGATGTTTAAATTTGAATATATGAACTTAACTCTGAAATTCATATAATCATGTTTTATGTATGCGTGTTTATCTCATTTATTCCTTTATAGTGATATTTGTTGTTCAATGTATGTTATAAATATTATGGTTGTGATGATGATGATGATGATAATATTTATGAGATTGAGACCGAGGATGATTAAGTCATGATTGAGTTATGAGATGTGCGATATTATAAGTGTAAACAGAGTATATGTCGATAACTTGGGACCTTCAGGTATAGAGTAGACTTTGCCAAAATTTTAGAGGAAATTTCTGTAAAAAAAAAAAATCACTCGTATTTTTTTGTATTTTTGTATTTTTTTTAATTTGATAATAATAAAAATAATTTTTTAAAAATAAAAAGTATTATTTTAATATATTTTCAAGTAAAAAATACTTTAAAAACAATATAAAAAACACCGAAGACAAAAGACAAGGAGCTTCTTAGTTGGATTAGCTAATTTTTAATGACATGGTAACTTGACAAAAATAGACTATTAGGGTATAGCAGACCTATTTATGGTATAGGCTTAGGTTAGGTTTGGATTTTTTTTTAATCATGGGCTTGGGCTTACTATTTAGGCTTATACTTTTACTAAATTGATCGATGATGGGCTTTTGGCCCATGTGAAAATAATTAAAAGAAAAATCCAAATCTCTAACATTATATATAAAATACTCCACATTTATCAATTTAAACGCACTTGATTAACAAAAATAAAAACTATAATAGAATGGTAAAACACTATGGTGTACCTTTTTTGTCCATCTCTTAAAATATTAAATATTAGTATTCATAACATATTTTTAAAATCCAGCCTGACCCAATGAGTAGACTCAGGACTCGGTTGATTTGGGTCTGGATCAGGTTGGATTTATAAAAAAATAAGGATAGTTAAAAACTCGGCTGACCTGATCAACCCGACAAGTTGACCAGGTCACCTTGACGGTTGATGATCTGAATGATCATCAAAAACCTGATTGTAACATGTTGACTATTTTTTTATTTTTTTACCAAAATAATATCGTTTTAATTTATAAAAAAATTAAGGTTGACCCAGGTGACCCGGTCAAAACTCAATAACCCGAGCCTTGAGTCAAGTCGACCACCAGGCCGGGTTTAAAATCGCTAATTCATAAGCATTATTTTAATAAAGAAACAGCAACATAATAATAGAACACCATGGTGCCCTCTCATTGTCATCATGATAGTGAAATCACTATTCAAAAACTATATATATATATTAATTTTGGTTATTCAAATTTAATTTCTTTCAATTTAGTCATTAAGATTTATTTTTTATATCAGTTAGTTTTGATGCTTAATAACATATCAAATTTACATAGGAAAATATTTAATTATTGTAAAAAACATAAAATTAAACAACAACCATCAAAATTGATATTTGTAAAAAATAAATGTAAACTTTTTGTTAACTAGGTGTGTCAAAATATAGTTTAATCCCTCTATTTTAATTTTTTAAAGTTTAGTATGTTCTAGTTTTGGAATATTCATTTATATCATAAAGTTTATTTAATTTGCATTTCAATCCCTAAAATTTAAGAGAACATAGAGAAAGTTGTTAGAAAATCAAGAACAAAAAAAAAGCTTTTAGATAGCTGTTTCCAACCACCATGGACTCTTATTTTAATGACTATGGATTTGTCTTTGAAAGTGTAACTTAAGAGAGATAGTTTTTATTTTCAATGACACCGAGAAAAATATATCAAAACTCGTAAAGTTTTTTTTATTTGATTTATGTTTTTAATTTGATTAGAATATTTTTTGCTGTTTGAAACAGGGTTATAATAGTTTGTGAGATTTTTCATATTTTCTTATAAAAAAATTGTTAAAATTTAGGTTTTTAGGGGTATAAAAACTTGAATCTCAATTTTTAAATTACTAAATGTATCTCCAATGATTGGAAAAAAAGGTTGAAATGAGCAGTTATTTTTTAATTTAAAAAAACAATTAAGAGAATGATCCTTGATGACAAAAAAAAATAAAAAATAAGAGCACATAGGTTTTCATATTGGTTAGGCATGCATGCCTAACCTTTGTGTGTTTGTTTTTTTATATATTTTTTTATTAAATTATTTTTAATAAATTTATTTAAATTATTTTTAAATAACCATCCAATCATGCCATTATTTTTAAATAATGTTAGCATTATCTATGGTAATATTAGTGATTATTGTTTTGAATAGGTATGTATGTATCTAATATAAATAATTTTCTAAATGTGAATGAAATATCTATTTTTAAATATTAATTTTATTAAAAAAAATTTACTAATACATCTCCATCAAAAATAATAATTCATTGTTTTTAATTTATTTATTAAAACTTGCTTTTAAGAATATAATAAATTTTTGTCTAGAAAAAAAGACTTTTGATAAATGATATCTTGTTAAGTAAAAAAAAGACATCCGTAAGGAAACATGTTTTGATTAAGTTAATATCTTATATTTATTTCAAATTGTTAGAATTGATATTGATTTTAATTGATTACAATTTCTAAGCAATTAAAAAAAAGCTAAAGAAAAATATATGAATTTTTTAAAAAAAATACATTAGTTAAAAAATATATAATTTATAATAGTAATTAAATCTTTTCTAAAAAATTTAAATTATGACATTTATAATGAAAATCTATTTTTATTATTATATAATCAAATAAAACAATTTCAAAGAATACCCTGCATAAAAATTAATTAATTATATATATATCTTTAAAATTTTTATTTTAATACTCAACTAATATTAATAAATTTTTCATATTTTATTAACTCATTTACTTTTCTCTGTATTTACACTAAATACGGGTAAATTTTCAATTCTTAATTTAAATTTTCGTAAGAAACCAATGATATGAACATCGAAGGAGAGATGGGCCGAAGAAGGCCCAAAAGTCTTCCTCTGAAAGAAAATGTTTTTTGTGAGGAAGGATAAGGTGAGGCGGGTTATTGTTTCAAGGGTGAGACAGAGAGAGATTCTGAGAAGATAGAAAGGAGAAGAATGGGGAGCAGCGGCACTTGTTCTCTTTGGAGTGGGTTCTTAGGAAGTGGGGGGCAGCAGCTCCGGGCATCGGTGGCAGCAGCCAAGCAGAGGGCAAGCCCAAGTCTAAGCTTTGTAACAGTTGAAGCCAAAGCCAAAACTAGACGCGAAGACAGGACTGCTCGCCATATTCGTATCAGAAAGAAGGTCTCTCTCTCTTTGCACTTCTTTATGTGATGTGATGACTTTTAGATAATCCCACCTCAGATGGGGTCTTAAAATTCCTTTAACTTGTATATAAAAAGCTAAATCCCTTTTTTTCCCACATTTGTTCATAATTAATTAATGCTTTGGATTGTTGTCTTGGCTGGTCTTGAGTTGGCTGTGGAATCTTGGTCTCAGGTGGAAGGGACTCCAGATAGGCCTAGATTGTGTGTCTTCCGTTCCAACAAGCATCTCTACGTCCAAGTGATTGATGATACAAAGATGCACACGCTCGCTTCCGCTTCAACCATGCAGAAGCCCTTCGCTCAGGACTTTGATTACTCTTCTGGTCCAACCATTGTAAGCTTACAAACGCTACAGTCTTTCTTTGATGTTTTCTTTTCCTTTCCAATGTCTATTACAGCTACATAGTTTTAGCTATGCCAACTTCTTCATTCTTATTCTGTGATAGTCTTTTTAAAAATCTACAAATTGTTGCTTCTTCTTAACCAAGATTTAAAGAGAGAGTTTGGAGTAAAACTGTGATGCAAACCAAACACTTTCAAATTTGTGGTTGGGGCAAAACGCAGACGCAAACAAACGGAGCCTTAATACTTGTGCGTTTTGATGCATTGCTGACTGAATTATGATCCCCGTACCTACAACCCTCCCTGAATCACTTCATTTCTGTGCTGCTGCCGTTTTGCCAAACTATTTCTCATTGATTGCAAGCTAAGCTTTTGTTTCTACTACCTTTTCCTTTCTCACCAGGAAGTAGCTAAGAAGGTAGGTGAAGTCATTGCAAAATCTTGTTTAGAGAAGGGTATAACTAAGGTGGCTTTTGACAGAGGTGGGTACCCTTATCATGGGCGTGTAGCAGCCCTTGCAGATGCAGCTCGGGAAAATGGCCTGCAATTCTAGAAATGTGATTGGTCAGTCACTTTTGAGCATTCTTTTTTCCTTTTCTTTTTGTACTTTGTGATGGAATCATGCATGAATTTGTGGGTGAAACTCTGTAATTTTGTTAATTACTGGAAGTGGAAAAGCTCTTTAGTTCTCTTGGTCAATTCATATCATTTATATTTGAAAAAAGGAAATCAAATTCAACTGTGTCCTCTTATTTTGATGGATGGAATCCACATTGCACTTGACAACTATTCTTTCCTCTCCCACCAGTGGGTTGGGAGCTGAAAAGCGTAAGCCCATAATCGCTTGGGGTAGCAACTTAGTACAACATAAAGTTGATTGCCAGGAGAGTGATAGGAGCATTTATGCTGGAAAAGAAAAGTAGGAGCAAACGATTCTATGGAAGCTCTGTGAGGAAATCCAGTATCCCAGTCAGTCATTACCTATACCGGTATTAAATAAGGGAAGAACAGTTCCACTTGAAATCGTGTCTTTAATTATGATGATTTCTGTTGTCTTTGAATACTTGATAAGAAGAGGTTATAAGCAAGTTGTTTTTTTTCTTGGAACAACCTTTCTCATGCCAAGTATTTAGATATATCACATCCCTAGATTCAAATGTAGATAGAAGGCTTCATGTTGAGCATGCATATTGAGGCAAAAAGCCTATCTTTAGCATATTTACATAGCAGTGAAGGCCTTTGAGTTTAAGTGGTTATTTCTATGGTACCGAAGCTCTGTTTGATCTAGCATCTGAGAGGTCCAAGTATTGGGACTAACACTCTCATTTATTTGCAAATTAATTTCAACATAATCGGTAGGTATTATATCTGCCCACATGGTTAAATATTGCACATCTCAGTTTGGCCAATCATACATGAATTCCCAAAATCCAGTTTGTCCATTCATCCCATACATACCTTCTTTTGATATTAGCCACGAGCATTGAGTCTCGCATCTTGTGTGATCCCTTGAAAACGAGTATGCATCAAAATGGGATCTCCTAGCATTTTCCCATTCCATATCACAATAAAGTAGAGTAGTTCCCCATGCATTGACTGAGAAGTCCCAACCAAATTCACTTCCATCGGCTATGTCCTGCTGGCCAAGATCATCATCTTTCGACTGACAATGTATGCTCAAGTTTTCCCCATTGCCTAATCTGTTCTTGATGCTTGCATGCACGTCATCTGAAAGAACCATCCTGGAGAAGCTGAATACCAGGAGCAACACCACATGACAACCCACCTGATATGGGGCAGGCATATTGTTGTAGTTGATTTGAACAAATTCTGATCTGGTGCTAGTTTTTTTTTTTTTTTTTGACGGATAAAAGCTACAACAAATTCTGATCTGGTGCTAGTTTTTTTTTTAACTGATAAAAGCTACAATGATAGCTTTATTTATGTGAGCTTGTTCAGCATCATGCGTTAATTTTAGTAAAATATTGTCAGCCACAATGAAATGAGATCCGATCCTGTTTACAAAATCAAGGATTGGCGATGCTTTCTAGTACGGTTCCTTGTTCTGTTTCAGGAAGTAACGTCGTCCTTCGTTTTAACTGCCGAACAACAAGGTTCTGGCATTGGGATTGCTGGACTCATAACCCACGTATTGATCTGATCTTGCTACACTGAACAATTTTACTCACAAGTCTTCTAATCAATGACTTTTGTTCCTAATCACGATCACCATAATATCCAACCATTGTTGTACTAATCAGTTCGTTGTTGACTTGGATCTTGCATCGGAGATGTTTCGGATTGATTCATGGAAGTCAGGTTTTATAATTATGCTCATAATTCAAAATAATGCTGTTAATTCTAGATTTTTTTTATATATATAATTCTGATATCTTATTGTCAAAACTATAAAAAACATGTTTTTTTTTTTTTCAACTCAAAAACTGTTTAAATGACACCTAAAACATGAAATTGAACGGATTCAAAATTTCTAAAACATGTTGTGTTTTTTTTCCCCGGCATTTTATCAGTTTGATGCCTTTCTAAACGAACAGACAACACATCTACTTCCATTGAAAGAAAGCTCTGATATACAAAAGATGATTAACAAGCACAAAAGATCATGCTTTCTTTTTCAGTCCACTTCAATCCGATTACTATCATTTGTATGATGATTCTTTTGTTATTTTTCTCAAATTATTTTAGTATTTATTATCAACTCATTCATTATTTCTATTGCAGCTCATTAGATATTTATTTGCTAGAAATTGAGAAGTGCGTGCAGATCACAAAAGATTCACCAGAACTGGAACCTGCTTCCTTAAATGAAGCCAGCAGATCAAGCTTACATGTATACATATAGATACAATAATAGTCTTAGTGTATATTTGGTATTTTGATATGCTTTTCTGATCGTGACTTGAATAAATAAATTTAAAAAATATATAAATTTATAACCAAAGTTTTAAGAGAGTTTTCATTGAAATACATACAAATCTATAAAAACTATAATATATGTTGATTTACCAAATATTTTTCAAAACTGTGATCGAAGAAAAAAAATAAAATTTCAAGCACATCCAATTAAGAACTAATTTTGGGAGGTGTTTGAAAATATAATAGTAGTTATTTTAAAAAAAAAATAAAATTTCAAGCACATCCAATTGAGAACTAATTTTGGGAGATGTTTGAAAGTATGGTGGTAGTTATTTTAAAGTGTTTTTTAATTGGAAATTTATTAAAAAAAAAATTTAAAAAAAATTATTTTTAACATTAACATATTAAAATAATCTGGAAACACTAAAAAAAATAAATTTAAAATAAAAAATAAATTTTATATTTTTAAAATACAAAAATAAATTATAAACCCTAACTAGCTATCACTGAGCATTTAACAAGTAGAAGCCCTCCTCCCACTTTCATAGCGATCCTATGTATTCTCCAGGGTCTAACTCGATATGCCCAAATAGACATTCCAAATTTTAACTGCCTTGGGCTGTCCCCCTTGAGGAATATTATTGTTATTGTTAACAGTTCAATTTTAGCTGCCTTGGGCTGTCCCCCTTGAGGAATAGTATTGTTATTGTTAACAGTTCATAAATAGCTTGCCTAATTAAGATGTAATCGCTATTAATAAGGATCGACAAGGAGGAAGGTTGCCTTCTGCACAAAATGCGCACGCAGCTCATGCATTCTTCCCCACAGCTGGCTAGCCCTCAATTTAAATGTATTAGCAATGATACGCGTGCTCTATGAATAGTTTTACGTTGGATTTTTTTTTTTTCCCTGAAAAAAGATTCGAATTAAGCTTGTTGAGAAACCCAGTTTTTCCTCCTCTCTGGTAATTAACCTGTAGGGTTCTGTTGCTCATGTTATATTTATATATATGTAAAAAAATAGTGTTTATCTAGGGTTCGTGTGAGAATATGGCCGCCAACACAAGTAATGTAACAGCTGCATTGCCAAAGCCTATGAAGGCAACGTCAAATGGAGCGTTTCAGCATGAGAATCCATTAGATTATGCGCTTCCTTTGTTGATCCTTCAGATATGTTTGGTCGTCGCTTTTACAAGGACCCTTGCATTCCTTCTCAAACCCCTCAGGCAACCCAGAGTCATTGCTGAGATCATTGTAAGTTTCTGCTCTTGAATACCATCATCATTGTGTATGTGATCTTATCTTTTATATATCAAGGACTTTGTTCTTCGATAAAAGGAGTTGAGAAATTTCTGCAGGGAGGAATACTGCTTGGACCATCTGCATTGGGAAGAAGCGAGAGATTTCTTCACACGGTGTTCCCACCCAAGAGCATGACTGTCCTGGACACGGTCGCCAACATCGGTCTCCTTTTCTTCTTGTTTTTGGTGGGTTTAGAGCTTGACATTCGATCCATTCGTCGCACTGGAAAGAAGTCCTTGGCAATAGCCGGCGCTGGCATCACCCTTCCTTTCCTTTTAGGAATCGGCACCTCATTTGTTCTTCGTTCCACCATATCCAAAGGAAGCGCTCACGCCCCTTTCCTTGTCTTCATGGGCGTCTCTCTCTCCATCACCGCTTTCCCAGTCCTGGCCCGTATTTTGGCGGAACTCAAGCTTCTAACCACCGATGTGGGCCGCATAGCAATGTCTGCAGCAGCAGTCAATGATGTTGTTGCCTGGATTCTCCTTGCACTTGCTATTGCTCTCTCAGGCAGCAACACTTCTCCGCTTATCTCCTTATGGGTCCTCCTTTGTGGCGTGGGGTTTGTTGTGTTCTCCGTTTATGTCATAAGACCATTACTGGAGCTTATGGCCCGGCGCAGCCCTGACGGCGAGCCGGTGAAAGAGATCTACATTTGCATCACGTTGTCACTTGTGTTGGCTTCCTCTTTCGTCACCGACTCCATCGGCATACATGCCCTTTTTGGAGCTTTTGTGGTGGGAATTTTAGTACCCAAGGACAGTCCTTTTCCCGGGGTTCTTATAGAGAAGATAGAGGATCTTGTGGCGGGGCTCTTTCTGCCACTCTATTTCGCATCCAGCGGGCTCAAGACCAACGTTGCAACCATAAGTGGAGCACAATCTTGGGGCTTGCTTGTGCTCGTAATAGCCACTGCTTGTTTCGGTAAGATAATTGGGACAATGCTTGTGTCAAGGATGATTTTTAAGGTGCCCTTTAGAGAAGCTGCGGCTCTTGGATTCCTAATGAACACCAAAGGCCTGGTGGAGCTCATTGTCCTCAATATTGGCAAGGATCGCAAGGCAAGTACTCATGTTCATTGCTTAGCTAGCTAGCTAGCTAGCTCTAGGCAGCATCACTCAGAATTCGTAGCGCTTGTGTCTTATGCAGGTGCTCAATGATCAGACTTTTGCCGTTTTAGTTTTAATGGCGCTGTTCACCACCTTCATCACTACGCCAATCGTGATGGCCGTGTATAAGCCTGCTAGAAAGGGAGCGCCTTACAAGAACCGTACTGTCAAACGCAAGGATCTTGACACAGAGCTTCGACTGCTGGCCTGCTTCCATAGCAGCCGCAATATTCCTACTATGATCAACCTTGTGGAGTGTTCCCGAGGAACACGGCAGCGAGGACGCCTCTGCGTGTATGCCATGCACCTCATGGAACTTTCAGAGCGATCATCTGCAATTTCAATGGTTCATAAAGCCCGCAAAAATGGACTCCCTTTTTGGAACAAGAAACGTGATGATAGAGATCAAATGGTGATTGCTTTTGAAGCTTATCAGCAACTCAGCAGTGTCACCATCCGTCCCATGACTGCCATCTCTGCTCTCAACACTATCTACGAGGACATCTGCACCAGCGCACACCAAAAGCGTGCTGCCATGATTCTCCTCCCATTCCACAAGCACCAGAGAGTGGACGGAAGCTTGGAGTCTTTGGGGCATTCGCTGCAGGAGGTAAACCAGCGCGTCCTCCGTCATTCTCCATGTTCTGTTGGTATTCTCATTGACCGTGGCTTCGGAGGCACCACCCAAGTCTCGGCCAGTGATGTGTCCTCCAAGATTGTAGTCCCTTTCTTTGGAGGTAGTGACGACATGGAAGCTCTAGCCTACGGGATGAGAATGGCGGAGCACTATATTAATTTACCATTAATTAGCAATTATTCATCATTTAATTTGTTATATGACCTTCCTTTCCTAATTAAGCTTGCTAGATATGATAATGTATGAATATTAATTACGATATGATGGGTCCTCATTTCTGTAAACCAACCTCGTTTAAAAACCAGCACAAGAAAGTCACGATCTAAGATAAGATTATGTTTTTCTTGGTGTCTAATTTCATGTTGAACTATGATATGACAACATTCAATTCTAAGTTGGGTAGGATAATGTTCATACCTAGCTCTAGGTTGGGTCATGACACATCTATATCCAACTTAATATTAGGCTAGGACATGCTGACACCCAATCCTATATTGGGCTATAAGGTGTCCAAGTCCAATCCTCTATTAAGTCAGGAATGCGAACGCGCCCAACTTTACGTTAGATGTGGCATGTCCATCCTGATCATTTCCGGGTATAATCACAAGCTGAACCCAATTTCTTTTAGGTTGAGTGTGTAAATTGAACCCAACATCCCTCAGATTGATTGTGCAATTAAAGGGTCACTTTACACTGAACCTCTCATATCCTGAGTCTAGGTTAATAATTATAATACTCATTATAATCTTGTTAAATATGAATAAATAGTCTATATTTATATTAATTAAATGTGATGGTACAAGCAATAAGATAATATTGTCTTACTCATACAATATTATATTTCTACCCTTTCTATGTCATGAAACATGTCAAATCAAGT